CGATACGGAAATCAGAGCAGAGCCCGGAAGAGCGTCAGCGCCTGGCTTTTAAGGTGGGCAGGGAATAGGGCGCAGGTGCATGGAATAAAGTCTTGAGTGATAGGGCTGGAGCACCCTTAAGGAGAGGAAACTAATATCGTGACAGTAGCATCTCCTGAGCGAGGGAAAGCAGGAGGGAGTGATCCAAGACTGATTTTTCCTTTCCTGCTGGGAGCACCCTGGAGGCTGATTTCAATATTGCTAAAGAACAAATTCTCCACGTGGTCCATACTGTCAAGACCAGAAGCTCTGACGGGTCTCGGAGTAGGAGAGTGTATGGCACACTGCTTGGAAACTTAGAGGAAGGATTGAAGAAATAAATCTAGAGCATTTGTGTGGTAGGCCGACTGTGCCAGGCTGGTGGAAGATATTCAGCAAATGATACAATAGGTTTATGAGACAGCCTTTCCCCAAGAGCAAGAGGTGGAGGCCTGACCAAACTTTAACAAAGCTGTTGGACATGAGAAACCAATTAGGACTGGCATAAACCAGTGCACTTGTAGACTGAGAGTGGGAAGATGTAGGCAAAGAAGATGTAGATGACTATACTGTGTGACATATAAGAGGATGGTCCTCTCTTTGTGAGACACCTATTCCAAGCCACATTAGATAAGAATGACCTGAGACCCATGACCCAATTGCATAACGCCAAGGCATCTGAAGACCTAGCGTTCAGTGGAAGAGCTCAAGGCACGAGGTCACAGTGTTAGGGTCTTATTGAAGCGGGCCTCTGTGACAGCCCATGAAGGTGCACATGACAACCTTTTGTTGTCATTTCAAAATAGAATGGAATGGGTCTCTGGAGACAGACAGTGGTTCAGTGCATGGATTTGTGACAGCTCTTATCTTTTTCCTAATCTGTGCCTTACTGTTCATTATGTCTGGCTTGGTAGAATGGGAAGCACTGTCTGAAAGGTTCAGGGTTCAAACAATGCACTTCTTGTAGCACTGCAATCAGTTCTTCTTGGTTCACGCAGTATTTTTGAGAACTATGCTTCAGTGAGCTCCTCAGCAGACAATGGAGATGACAGAATTGCTCTGACCTCCTCCCCTGCACAACCCCATGCTGCTGTGGAGGATAGGGTATATTGTAATCAGTGGAAAGGCAGTGAGATTGTTTTGATGGGAGCAGGTGAAAGAGGGAACCAAAGGCCTACACATTCCAAGAGGATGCTGAGGGGGCTTAATGTAACCATCGATTCTGTCCATTGAACAGTAACAGCATCCAGACTTGGGTCCAGTATTACTGAGAATGACAAATGAGAGGAACAAGACCATGTTCAGGTAATAAGAGGTCTGATGGAACACACCACTACTCGGTTGCCATCTTTGGGCTCTTTCCCATCTATCTGACAGAGACATGTCTCCTCATTATGTTTTCTTTGTTTGCAAAGCAGCCAGAGGCTCTTGCTGAAC